AAAAAAATATGACATTAGTAATTAAATGTGTGATATTAACATCACCTATTTAATATATATATATGTATATTAGAAATTAATAAATATTAATATTAATTTTTAAAAAAAGTTAGCATTTCAACTTACATTTGGAGACTAAATCTAATAATTATATTAAAGTTATCATATATTCAAGCCAAAAGTTTATAACATTTAATCACACGAATCGCTTAATTAAGTATTTAATTTAATGAAGATTTTACTTAAAATTCTTAAGTCTTTGCAGACATGCCCATTGATAGCTCTAAAGTAGAAAAAAGAAACTTAGCATCACTCTTCAATTCACAAACAGATTCCTACGGTGAAATTAAGGAACCTATTTTATTCCAGAGTACTAAATGAAAGATGACAGCCCAAGTACACAAACCATCATTGCCGGGTCGCGCCCCATAATCGCCCTCTGATGCGGCTGATGCTGATTCTCTTTTCTGAGATGATAGTATCCAACGAATCAATGTGGTTTAGTTTCGGTTCCCAGATCCAAATGATTCACCAACAACCAAACCAAAGTGAGAAGTTCTCCAGCTTGACTGGGTTGTTGTGCGTGGACATTAGGCCTACAATTAATGGTAGCATAACACATTAATTCTACCCAAATTTTGCTCATTACCTTCCATGGGTAATGGTTGTATTGCTGCTTGAGCCTGCTTGCAAGCTGAACTGCAGAAAACAAGGAAATTTCAATTTCTTCATCACTAATATCTTCTTCTTCTTCTTTCTTCATGTCAAGGATTTTTCTGTTGGCAGTCTTTTCATTTGAGAAGAAACTCCAAGGCACTACCTACTAAATGAATCATTTTCGATGTTTTATTAAACACGGTCTTCCAAGTGTCCAACACAGTAGCCATTTTGGTGGGCTGCATCACTGCAAGGTAAAACATATAATCTGAAAGAAGATTCCAAATTAATCTGTAATCCATCCTCCAGCCAAGACAGGCTAACATGCAGCATGAGGTAACTCTTCAAATGAAACTCCTTAACAAGAATTATATATTTTTAGGTAATCCTTCTTCTTCTTTTTTTAATTTTTTTTATAATATATAAATGATATTATTTAAGAAGAATTTCATAAAGGAAAAAAAAAATATCAATTCTCATTTATATACTATAAAAAAGGTATTACCTAAAAATATGTGAAAACAAAGAGTACATTCGATCTGGGCATTAGTTGGTACTGCAGGCTCCCTCCTCCATTTTTAGCATCAGAAGCTCATTTTTAACGTTTGAACATGGGAAATATGGCACAATGATCAGTTGGAAAGGTAATGCCGTTTACGAGAACCAAAGCTCGAGATAGGTGATGGTTTAACCTCTATTGGTTGTCTCTATTGGGAGGCTATACAGTATAGGCATTCTATTTGTTTCTCAAATCCCTTCGGTCAACCAAGGGATACACTAAATCTCTTTATCGATATGTAAAGGACAAGTTAAATTAGAAATAATGTTGAAGAACATCTTTCCAAGAAGGACTAAATATGAAGATGAACCATTGCCCAGGTCCCAGGATCCAACAACTCACAAGAGAAAGGAAAGTTCGTTTCAAGAAATTAAATCGCCATGTATAAGATTTGAACTTGAATCTCTAAATGTTCAACATATAAAATTAAATTGTTGTAATATAAAATTAAATTGTTGTAATAATCTCCTCTAATTGATCATTTCGTTTCCTTGTGAATTGAAACTAGACTTCGCTTGAAAAGTAAGGCTTGTAAATATTTAGTTTCTCCATATATAGGTAGTCTCTGGAGTTGCTTCGTTTTTAGATTGTAGGACACCAACTGACCTTCAATATTTTCCATAAGAAGCTCATCATCCTTCCCAAATAGTAGTGGCGTCTCGATACCCAAAAGAGGTCCAATACATAAGATCTTTGTCCAAGTCCCATTAACCCCAAATTTATCCATCCCCCAAATATCAAATGACTTCTGTTGAACTTGAAAGGGATAATGAAAGAGAGTAAGGGATCCGTTCAACTCTATAAGGCTATAGCACATAGTAGCATTATCATTTGGTTCTTCACATGATTTTGGCAAGCCTATATATCGGAAAACCTCATCACTCATGTCAAACAAAGCAATTAAATGCTTTCTAATGGTGTCACCTGCTCGTTCATAACAAAAAACACACCAATAATAAGCTCCATTCCAATATCGTTCAAAAGAAGGCATGGGAGTAAAACAAGCTTCCATAACAACGTTGTCAATCTCCACTTCCATAACAAAATTGTTAATCTCTCTCCAAGAATTTGTACTCAAGGTGTATACCTCAGCTCTTTCAGGAAATCGTTGGCGTGAATCACTATAACTTTCTATCTCCCACACTCTTACAATTTTATAATCATTAGATTTAAGATCATAGCCAAGTCCCACGGCATCAACGACACGCGCTAAATAATCTTCATCATGATATAGAGAAGGAATAAGACAAATGCAAGACTCTGGAAGAATTCTGAATTCTCCTATTATGGGGTTAGCTATAACGATCGTATCACGCATATAGGAAGTGTCGAAGAAGAAGACAATGCCATCACAACTGCCCCAACTTTCAGCATATTGGTGATCCTTATATAAGGAAAAGGTCACAGGCTTCACAATATAAGGAGAATCACCTCCTTTAGAAGTAGACAGCATCATCTTGTCATTGTATGTAAGCAATGATAAAACGTTTTCACCTTCCTCGTGATCAAGTTGGTCGGAGCAGATGCGGTATCGGAGAAGTATGCAAAGGTTGTCGTCGGGGGCAGAGCGAACATGGTTGTGAAGTTGTTTGGTGACAAACCAATCGTGTCCGATTAGTGAACGCCATGATTTACTAAGGCACTTGAATCGAACCAAGGAGTCTGCTGGTAACCACGACAATATCTCCATAATAAGTTCTTCTGATAGATAATTGAAGCTTGCCATCTTCTAAAATTGATCAAAGCAATTCGTTACGGGAGGGCTATTCTATATATAAGGGATGGGGTAACTCACCAACTTCTTTATGATAAATTACGATTTCAAATAGGAAACAACTCACAGTTTTCTCACTTCACGAGGGAGTTTTTTTTTTTTTTTTCGGCTTAGTTTTTTTCTCGTTGGAGGAAGGCTATATATATATAGGGGCCGACTCACGGGATGGGGCAACTCACCAACTTCGTTATGATAATTTCCAATTTCAATTAGGAAACAACTCACGACTTTTCCCATTTCTTGTGGGAGTTTATTTGTTTGTT